CATGGATGAGGCTGCGCCTTTCCGTCCATATTTTCAAATTTATAGGTTTCAAACCGAATCTCTTCCTTAATGCAGTAGGGGCCTTCCCAATTGAGACAAAGGTTCATGTACCAAGTTCTTTGGAAGATAAAAATACATTTTGGAGCACCAGCTCATTTAAACTAAATGACTTCTTTTTTACTTTAGAACTGTAGTATCTAGTCATCTTCCGCTGGTAAACAGCCAATTTTGCTTGAGAATCATCACTCATTTCTTCAAGGAGGTCCAGTTTATATATCTTTATTTCGTCATTAGATATTTTATTGAAATAAATTCGACGAGAAGAAGACAAGCCCACTTCAACTGGGCTTATAGCCTCGGCCCCATAAGCTATAGAGAACGGATTTTCTCCTATAGTAGTTTTGCTTGTTGTTCGTAGGCTTAAAGCACTTGAGGCAGCTTATCGACCTAGGGCCATTTAGAAGCATCCAATTTTCTCTTCAATATATACTTGATTGGTTTGTTCACAGCCTCCACCTTTCCATTTGCATGGGGGATGATGTGGGAAGGAGAAGTGTTTCTTCATACCCAGCTCCTCCCATAAGCTTCCGACCTCTTATTATCGAACTGTTGATCATTGCCTAGAACAATTGAATGGGGAATTTCAAATCTACAAATGATGTTTTTTCAGAGGAACTTGAAAGTATTGGCTTCAGTACTTTTAGCAAGGGGCTCGGCTTCTACCCATTTGGTGAAATAATCGATGGTGACAATTGTGAAACTACAATTTCCTCTTCCTTTGGGAAGGGAACCTATAAGGTCAATTCCTTATTTAGCCAACGGCTGGGGCTGAAGACAACACTTAGCTCATGGGAATGCTGTTTCTGAATTGTGACAAAGTGTTGACACTTGTCACATTTATTGACGAACTATTTCGCATCATTTTTCAAGGTAAGCCAATAATATCCTTACCTCAGCCCTTTTTGCGTCAAGTACCATCCTCCTGTGTGATTGCCACATACCCCTTCATGAATTTCTCGAAGCACATAGTTGACTTGTTCCCTACCTATGCATCGAAGTAAAGGCAAGGAGAATCCTCGTTTATATAGCACATTGTCTTGGAAGACTGAGCTTCTGTGCCTTCTTTTTTCAAAGGGTAATGTCTGGTTCTTGAGGAAAAAATATGATTGGCTTCATCCATAATTGAGTATCTTCGACCCACATTATCTCTTCATTAGTGGTAGTGGAGGGTCTAGGGAGATACTCTTTGGGCACTATAGTGAGTAATTCGGAATCTTTACTGCTTGAAAACTTTGAAAGGGCATCGGCATGAGCATTTTCTGTGCGTGGTATTTGCACTAACTCAAATATTTCGAAAACAGGAATGAAATCAATAACTAGTTTCAAGTATGCGGCCATGGACTGATCTCTAGCTGAAAAATTGCTATGAACCTAGTTTACTACCAACTGGGAATCACTACTGATTACATGCCTCTTTGCCTGTATTTTCCTGGCTAGTCCCGGGGACTTAAAATGGAAACCCTATACATTTATTCATACAGTTGGCTTGCTAAATCGTATCTGGCATTTTACACTTTGTACATTTAATAAGATGTTATCTTAGATAGTGAGCTATGGAGGATTTTGAGCCATTGGATCTAGGTCGAGCTTATGTGTGATATAAATAGAGGTCGAGCTTATGTGTGATATAAATAGAGTTATTCTCTCGTTTTAGAGAAGGCTCCAAAACTGGCAGAAAACAACATTCGACTTGGTATTCTAATTTCTATTCTTTGTATAAATATTATTGTAAGTAACATTTTGATTATCACATACATACATTGTACATCAACTAGAAGCACTAAAAATATAAAAATTCATTGAAATGTTACCATGCCCTTATTTGAGCCCCATTTTTGAGCAAAAATTTTAGTAGTGTTTTTTTTAAAGATTGTGTGGTTAAAAAATAAGAAAACTTTTCAATTTACGTGTAATATTATTTTAAGAAAAAGGCATAGATGAAAATGAATTGTGAAAAAATAGGGGGCCAAACATAGGCCATATTTCCCTCTTCTATTAAAAGAGGGAAACCTCCATTTACTGTTCATTTTGGACGTATTTCCCTATTCTAATTTTATCCCTCTACTGTTCATTAAGAAACAAAACGCTGGGGAGTCAAAAATGTAGGCGGTAAAAGGTGGTGCAAAATTGTAGGTGGTTAAAGGCAATGGAAAATATCATGTTTTTTCCTTGCTAAGGTAATGCTATGATTATCACCCAATTATAAAATATCATGTTTGTTCCAAGCATCTAGTACCAACTTCATCTATTCATTC